TCCTGAAGGGTCAGAGGAACTCCATGTTCCTCAACTCAGGAAAGTTCTTTATTAAAGACAGTGAGTTTGCAGCTGCATTGAGAATTATCTCAGGTGCCCCTTTTGTAAAATCAAAAAAGAGCCGTTTTTCTGTTTTCGAGGGAGGTAACAGGTGCGAAGCGTGTCCTGGGATGGTCAAAAACCTTGACCACATTCTTCAAATGTGTCCCAGGGCACAGGCTCAAAGGATAGTACGGCATGATGATCTCCAGGGCGTAATAGAGAGATCTTAAGAAGCGAAAGATCGTCTTTACGCGGGATAATGTCATTAAAATGGCGAAACAGTGCGGAAGCCCGATTTGCTCTGTTTTCGTGGGGACAGAGTATATGTGGTCGATTCAACTATTATTAGTGATAAACGCGCATTTGAAGACGCCCACAACGACAAGATGACAAAGTATGCCTCTAATGAGTTCAAAGAGGCCCTTCTCACTCATCTTAAGAGAAATACCGCCGATGTGGATAAGGTCGAAGTTATACCTTTTGTTTGTAATTGGCGGGGCGTTGTGTTTCGGGAGTCATTTAAGGAGATGCCCAGAAAACTCAAGATGAAGGTTCTTCTTCCTTCTCTTCAATTAAGGCTCATATGAAGTCTATAAAAAGGAAAGGTCTATCACTGAGAGGAGTGATGCTTAATGGTTTTATTTATTTTATTTTTCTTCCACCTTCCTGTCACTGTCTTTTGTTTGTGTTGTTTTAAGTTAAATTAATTTAAAGTTTTAAGATATTTTATATCTTGTAATTGTAATTTTAACGTAAAACTATTTTTTTGTTGTCCTAGCTGTTTTTAAAGTATTAAGTTACTTTTATTTTGTTTTACTTGTTGTTTTCACTTTTCCATGTTCTTGATATTTTAGTCGTGACTTTGTCACCTCTTTTAGTGCTCCTGACGGCAGGGAGCTGCACGTCCATGACTGCCTGTTGTAGCTTTAGTCTGTTTTGTATATATATATAAATCTTGCCATGTCTATTTCATCGTGTCTTATGAAACAAAGATAGGGCAAACATTCATGTCATCCCGTTCATGTGTAATTGGAGGGGATTCATCTACAGGGAATCCTTCCTGGAGATGAACAGGAGGGTGGGTTCACCTCATTCCATTATTCTATCCTTTAAATTAGGATCCTAAAAGGATCCTACCAAGCGTATCGAAAGGAAAGGCCCTTTCAGACAGAGAGGACTAGTGTCCTTACTATCATAGATTCCTCCTTTTCTCTTTTCTCTCTCCTTCCCATCTTCTGTCTTTCCCTTTCGCTCCTTCTATTTCACTTTACAATTTCTCTTCTTCATTCGTAACCAGCGTTCTAACTCTCTTTCTTTCCTTATCTGTATGATTCCCCAGCTCCTTCGCTGGACTTAATACTCTCTTTAATACACAGGCGCGGCTTCGGCTGCCCCTAGATCAGGCTCCTTACGGCAGGGAGCGGCGGCATGATTTCATCATCGCCAGCCACAATATAATATTTAAACCGTGCCAAGTATGTTCATTTTGATTTGTATGATTTAAAATTGAATAAACGCATTTAAGTGGACTGTAGAGGAATTAGTCATAATAACAGTGATCCATAGGTCGCTGGTTCAAACGGTTGTGCATTTTTTCTTTTAAGCCCTTATCAGGGATCAGAACCAGAGGATCCTTTATCTGGAAAAGGTAATTTCCAGGGATTCCTCCAATTTCTGAAGTGAGGAGCTTAGTGAAACACATCTACCTGTAAGCAAGGTTCTAGGCAAAGTGACCTATAAGTGTAAGTGTACATTCTTGGATTTTGTGGGCCTGCGTTTCCCCCCCCCCCCCATACATGTAAGGCACTTAGCTCTCTCTGAGCCTAAGACCTCATAGGAGCTTCCTCATAGTGAGCCTAGCGCTGCGCGCTGGCCGTCTTGGAAATTTGCATTCTTGGAAATCCATTTAACTACACCGTCTTGGAATGGACTGAGAACGACAAAGGCACCACAGCCAGGGCCTTTATACCATGATGAACCACACGGTGTTCGCCAAGGATAAAAAGGCCCACAAGCAAATGAACTGAGAGATGCGAGAAAAACAGTGCTCAGCAAATACTATAACTATAAGATGGGTGATGAAGTCATAAATAAAATTTTTAAGAATGGAGGAGAAAGCCTCCTTCATGATGTAGTGAACTAATATTTGAGGACTCTGTCCATGGTTTTAAACAAAGACAAAATAAACAAAAATCACCCTATAAAGCTTCAAACAAGAAAATTCAAGAGGCCCTAGGGAGTGACTTTCCAAAGACAATTGGGATGATTTTAGATGGCAAGGCCAACCAGGTGGGGATGAACCAGCGTGTACCCCATCAAATTATTAACGATTGGGTGCACAAGTTCGAGATGGCATCCATAAAGGATGCCAGAACCCCAAACATGGTCTACAAGGTGGACCACACCATGGAGGCCCTATCTCAGTGGAGGAAATCGGAATCGCCATGAAAAAACATGGGCTCCGATAAGGATCCACTGGGAATGAGAGGGGCTGAGATTCTTGCCATACCCATGGATGAAATGGCAATTTTTTAAATAAAATATTAATAAAGGGTAAGCTACCGCAAGAACTTTTAAAAGCAAGGACCACGCTGATCCCCAAAAAAGAGGACCCACAACTCACAGGGGACTACAGACCAATAACGGTCCTACCCATATAACAAGGGTCCTCCACAGAGTCCTGGCAAACAGGATAAAAAATGTAAGAATAAGCAACCGCCAGAAGGGTTTCAGGGAAGTGAATGGCTGTTCCAAGAATAGCATGATTCTTAGGAATCTGATTGGAACAGCCACATGTGGACAACGCAATATCCCCTTAGCGTTCGCCTTCATCGACCTGGCCAAAGCATTTGACTCAGTGTCTCATGAATCGCTCCTTCTGGCGGCAAGAAGGGTAGGGGTACCCCCTAGCAATAAATTACCTAGAACACCTCTACAAAAATGCCAGGACTCGGATTGGGGATCAGGACGCTCTCTTCAAGTCAGGGATCCTCCAGGGAGACCCGATGTCTCAACCTCTTCAACTTCGTACTGGATTGGGTGCTGGATATAGCATACAACACCACACCGTAGGGACAAGAAATCCAGTACGAGTTGGAGCCACACACGTGGAGGCCCTTTGCTTTGCTGACGACACTGTGCTCGTCAGCAGGGATGTTAAAGGGCTCCAGAAGCTGGTGGACGCCTTCCTTGCACAATGCGAGAAGGCGTAGCTTCGGCCGAACCCACAGAAATGCGCATTCACAGCGATCCAGACAGCGGGGAAAGCCCACTACATCGACGCCAGTGAAGAACTTTCGTGATGGGGGAAAAGTGAATGTGTCGGACACATACAAATACCTGGGAGTGGTGTTCAACCCCAATGGTATGGTATCCACCCCAATCCTGGAAACAGTCCAGGAGGGTTAGGTAGACTGAATGGCATAGGCCTAACGGTCTACCAAAGATAAATAGCCTTGAGGGACCACCTGATCCCTAGGCTCATCTACAACCTCACATACAGCTAAGTCTCCTAATCCCAGATCCGCCTGCGGATCAAGTGGTGAGGATTACTGTGAAGGACTGGATGAAACTCGCCAGGGATACTCCCAGGGAGTTTTATTATGCCCCAACGTCGGCTGGTGGTCTGGACCTCATGAAGCTAGAGGTACGCAGGAACCTTCTCCATAATAAGCGTATCGCCGCCCTGAGGGACTCTAAAGACCCAATTGTCCGAGCCATCATTGCAGAGAATCCACTATATGTAAGACTTCAACAGGCAATAGTAGGTGGTCTCCTGTGCAGAGACTCGGATAAGCCTGAGACTTTGTATGCCAAGGCGTTGTGGGCGAAAATCGACACATGCGGACTGGCGTCGACAGCCCAAGGACACCGGAACTTCATGTTCATGACGGATCGGGGAGCAGACGAAGCGTGCTGCAGTACAGATCATGGCAGGAACCCCTTTACAAAGGCCAAAAGGGCGCGATTCACTTAACTAAGAGAACAAGTGTGAATCGTGCGGCGATCGCATCAAGAGCCTGCAGCACATTCTACAAGTGTGTCCAAGGGTAAGGGGTGCGAGGACAAAGCGCCACGATCAGGTCCAAGCCCTTCTGGAGGGATCCCTGAAAGCCAAAAAGAAAACATACCACAAGAACAACATCATCCCCATGGGAGGAACCGTGAAGAAACCGGACCCTGTGGTAATAGACGAGAAGAAGATCAGCGTCGTGTATCCGACTATCGTCTCAAATTCTCTCTCTCCCCAGGAGGCAGAGAACAACAAAGCCGCCACCTACAACACCAGCGAATTCAAGAGGGCGCTCCTGAAGTACTTTGAGTGCGAGGAGTCCCATGGAATTGAGCAGGTGGAAGTGGTCCCTATAGTCATCAACTGGAGAGGCGTGATGTCAGAAAGGACGTACAGGGCCCTAACTGGGATCGTTGGAATGACGCCTCCTTCGTCAAGTACGTCCAATTGAAAGTTCTGACCACCTCCCACATGATCTATAGGGAGGAGAGAGACAGACCCGATAGGGATTCTGAACTCCCCCCTATAAAGCTCCGCAGCATATCAGACGGCAGCTTACCCAAAGCGTTTTAGCGAATGATTATAACATCTTTTATCAGCTTTAACGTTTTACCCCCTTTTTTAACAGCTACTAGAAAAATCCTTTTCTTTTTTAAAATATCATAGACTAAATGACTGGACAGTGGGGCCGCCTGCCATTTGGGCAACCAACAAAATTGAACAACATCCTATATTAATTATTTTATTTCCATTTGTATCAGTGTGGGGTATGGCGACTTGTTAGTTGCCGCCATATACCTGCACACTTAAATAAACGTTGCTTCCGTTGGACAGGGAGCGCACAGACTTGGTGTCAAGCGAGGGCAATGTATTGTAAAAATGTGCCAAATTCTGAATAAATACCGGGATCGATACCCGAGGAGCTCAAAAAGACAGCCTACTACCAGCCCGGCTAGCTCAGTCGGTAATGTATTTTAACAATGTTTTGCCATGTATGTTCCGTTTTGTTTTATTGGAATAAAGGACTTAAATGAGACTCTTAATCTCAGGGTCGTGGGATCGAGCCCCACGTTGGGCGACTTAATATTATATATTTATGTCCATATTTATTACAGAGTCCTGCTAGTCAGAAATGACAAAATCCTGGAGCCCGCAGCCCTGAAGACCGTTAAGGAGAGGATAGGTCAAGCCGACCTACTCACTCAAAAGACATTCTAACATGCCTCTTAGGGTTGCTTTCAATCCAAGTAATCAGCCGAAGTATAACCC